TTGATGTTTTCATGCCTTACTATACTATGACGTTTTTTCACGTTTTTATACCTTACTATACTATGAAGTTTTTATGATATTTTACGCCTTGCTATACTGTGACGTTTGTTCACGTTTTTATACCTTAGTATACTATGACGTTTTTTCACGTTTTTATGACTTACTATACCATGACATTTTTTCACGTTTTAATGCCTTACTATACAATGACGTTTTTTCACGTTTTAATGCCTTACTATACTATGACGTTTTTTCACGTTTTTATGACTTACTATACTATGACGTTTTTTCACGTTTTATGCCTTAACGTACTATGATGTTTTTCCACGTTTTAATGCCTTACTATACCATGATGTTTTTTCACGTTTTAATGCCTTACTATCCTATGATGTTTTTTCACGTTTTATGCCTTACTATACAATGACGTTTTTTCACGTTTTAATGCCTTACTATACTATGACATTTTTTCACGTTTTTATACCTTGCTATACTATGACGTTTTTTCACGTTTTTATGCCTTACTACACTATGACGTTTTTTGATGTTTTCATGCCTTACTATACTATGACATTTTTTCACGTTTTTATGCCTTACTATACTATGACGTTTTTTCACGTTTTTATGCCTTATTATACTATAACTTTTTTCACGTTTTAATGCCTTACTATACTATGACGTTTTTTCACGTTTTTATGACTTATTATACTATGAAATTTTTTCACGTTTTTATGACTTACTATACTATGACATTTTTTCACGTTTTTATACCTTACTATACTATGACGTTTGTTCACGTTTTAATGCCTTACTATCCTATGACGTTTTTTCACGTTTTTATGCCTTACTATACTATGATGTTTTTTCACGTTTTTATGCCTTACTATACTATGATGTTTTTTCACGTTTTTATGCCTTACTATACTATGATGTTTTTTCACGTTTTTATGCCTTACTATACTATGATGTTTTTTCACGTTTTTATGCCTTACTATACTATGATGTTTTTTCACGTTTTTATGCCTTATTATACTATAACTTTTCTCACGTTTTAATGCCTTACTATACTATGACGTTTTTTCACGTTTTTATGACTTACTATACTATGACATTTTTTCACGTTTTTATACCTTACTATACTATGACGTTTGTTCACGTTTTAATGCCTTACTATACTGTGACATTTTTTTATGTTTTTATGGCTTACTATACTATGATGTTTTTATGCCTTACTGTACTATGATGATTTTTCAAGTTTTTATGCCTTACTGGACAATGATATTTTTGGATGTTTTCATGCCTTACTATAGTATGACGTTTTTTCAAATTTTTATGCCCTAATATAGTATGACATTTTAGACATTTTTATGCCTTACTATAGGATGATGTTTTAATGACATTTTACACTGTGCTATACTGTGACTTTTTTTTCAAATTTTCATTCCCTACTATAGTATGACATTTTTTAGACATTTTATGTCTTACTATATACTGTGTCGTTTTTGGACGTTTTTAATGAAATGTTATGCCTTAATGACATTTTATGCCTTATTATACCATGGCGTTTTGATGACATTTCATGACTTTTTTGCCTTACTATAATATGACTTATTTTATGCCTTACTATACTATGACTTTTTTATGCCTTAATAATAATTTCAAATTAATTTTAAACATACATTTCTATCTTTTATATTTACATATATAATATTAACATATACTGTCAGGCTTTGGGATTGATATACATTCATGTATATGTCTGTAATGCAAACAGATATATCAATGTGTCATTTTTTTTTCCAATTTCTAATAAGTTTCATCTGAGATCTTTAGGCAATACTTTAAATACATTTTACTTCATATGTACATATATTTCACATATGGACATTCAACACATGTACATATATTACATTTGCATAAGGGCATTCCTGAATTTAAATTCAGATCTTATATGTTAATAAACTGTTTGGATCTCTTTGTTTTGGTGGGGTTGTGGGGTTGTTGCGTCACTACCAATGTTGAGCCCAAACCTATGCCCTTGGCACAGATCATTCAGTGGTGTTCATCAGCTGTGACCATTACTCACCTTTTGCTTTTATAATTTCCCTCGCTGTGGATGCTGACTGTTCCATTGCCGTAGGAGACCACACTGTTCTCCGCCCTGAGGTCAGGTGCTGCTCTCTCTGATAAAACAACAGTTGGTGCCTGCTGTGTGCTGCGCACCTCTCCGACATGGTTCACCTGAGACAATGTCAAGAAATTGGAATCAGAATCCTGTAATTTATTGTTGAGATTGGTGGTTTCTGGATGAGGAATTCTGTTTTTCAAAATTGAATTTTTAAATGAGAGAGCAGGTCATTTGATTCTGTTTATATGGAGATACACAAGACAGAAAATCCACAATAATAGAAAATACAAATGAAGTGATCTGTAAATCAGTATTCTCAAACATAATGCCACATTTAACATCACAAGTAAATACTGAGGAGGAGTCAAACACATTATTTATGCTTGAAAGAAAGAACCTTTTCTGGGCAGCAAACTGGAGAGCAAAATGTGCTGAAAACACTCTGATGAGAGAGGCTGCCAGACATGTATGAATGTAGTCACACAGATACAAGGACAGACACACACACACACACACACACACACACACACACACACACACACACACACACACACACACACACACACACACACACACACACATACACAGTAGCCTTGGCCACAGTGTGACACACTGCAGTAAAATGAAAAGCAGCTCTAACATCTATCATCCTCCAGGTTTCCAGGATGATCAGTGTCTCACCTCAAATCCTTTCTTTCAACGACCATCAGAGCCAATTAGTTGGAAGGAAACACACAAAAGCAATTTTCTGAACTGTGTCCAACATGAAATGCATGTTACCAGTGCAGGAGTGTGTGTCTGTATCATCGTGAGCACACTGAGAAAGAATGAGACAGGAGTGAAATCAGTGGAACAAACATTTCTGCTGTTCCATCTTTCTAACCCGTCAGGTAAACAGCAGTGTGCTTATCAAACACAGAATTGAACACCTTAGGTACAACACTACTACACAACTAATGTTACAGCCTTAAACAGTGACAGGAAGTGGGAAAAATGAATATTACATCACAAAAAGAGATGCATAGCCAAAAAAACACCCTTAAAAGATACAGAGTAACTGCATTATGCCTCATGTAATTTACTGCCATACTGTATAATGCATCATTAATGACTTCTAGTCTTCGACCTATTTCTGGATGCGAGTGTAGTCACACAGGATGAGGATCTACTGAGCTGATGCTGAGTGTCTGGAAAAAGCAGCATGTGAAACAGATCTCATGAATGTGCAGTCAGAGGATGATCCACTATGCAAAGAAATTCCCAGAAACTGCAGGGAATCTGATCCGCTGCAGTAGAAAAATGCTGTGACGGGTGCAGCTTTGTCAGATTCAAGTGTTATTAATTGCTGTGCTGTTCAGACCAGTCAGTGTTTTTTACAGTAACACCAAAGCTAAAATTATTCAGAGAGCTGAGAGAAGGAAAGCTGGAGTTTCATGTCTTAACCGTTTTATGGCTGCAGCTAATGACTGTTTTCACTATGGACTAATCCAGTCAATATTTAAAGGAAACATTGAACTGTGTATATATGAGATACAAATATATCACAAATGTGTATCTCAATGTGCTGGATCCCAAAGTGATGTTAAAATTGTCCAGAAAACCCAAAGGTATTCAATTTACAGTGATATGAAAAGGAAAAAAAATAGAAGCAAAGAAGCAAATAGGAAAATGAGTCCATTATGAACTCCTACCATTAATTTTTTTTCCTGCAATCACCAGTTTGACTCAATTCAGCCTTTTTTTTTATGTTTTAAGTTCTGCAACATAAAATGAATCCATATTCCCTCTAAATATTTCTCTGTGTTTTTCCATACCCTCTCTTGAGATATGTATTCTCTTTGGAGGAGCTACACATGTGCCACCTCATCACTTCATGTTTGTAGTCTTAGTTCTGTTATCCTCTTTGACTTTGGTGGAGTTGCTCACGTTGATAAATATGAATTGAGACATGCTATTCAATGCAGGCAACATAGAATTTTCAAAAAATAATGCAGTGTTTGCTTTGAATCCAATTATCCTACATTCTTCTCTCCATTAACACAGTTTCCACTTGTGTTAAATGAAAACGTGGCACAAAACACAGGGAAATTAATTCTTTGCCAGGAGTCTAATCTGCAGCCGCGTGTAGCAGCCCCTTCGCAGACTGAATCATTTAGCGCCACCATGATTCACACAGCAACACAGAGGCAACTCAACCCTTTTTATACATTATACATGCCACATACATTATATATGCCTCCCTGCAAGGCAAGCATCTTCACTGCAATACGGGAGTGCTCCAGAATAGGGCCTGCATCTCGATGAAGCGACACACACACTTGCGGTGACAGGCAGTATGTAGGCCAAGGCCTCGCTGGATAAACTGACTGAATATGTTTCTTCCCTTACCATAATGAGTCATGGTGGACATGATACATTCATAGTACACTGCTACTCTAGTAGATTAATCACCACTAAGTACCACATGGGGCCACCGCTGGGAAGTACAAACAGCACAGCTTTCACAGGGCCCTACAACCAGGAGTACCTGCTAAATGCTGGGCCACTGATGCTCTAGGACAGTGGTTCCAAAACTGGGGGTCCAATTTAAAGTGATAGTTTATTTTGAGCAAAGTTGGATACTTTGTACACCTATATCCATTGACAGAATAACAGCTTGTCAACATTAACATATGTAGTTTAATCATACAACCAAAGATGTTATTTTCCTGTAGAGAAAAGTCATTATTCATGCCGCCACAAGAGGCTGCTCAACAGAAAAATATAAACATGGGTAATCTGAAGCATCTCAACATGGAGCAGTTTGTTTTTAACACAGATTTTCTTTCACTTTGACCCTCTCCCACAGTTTGTGAGGCTGTAATCTGTTGCTATAGTTGTGTTACTTTCCCATTTTCCCCAAATAATTTTTCAGTCCTAAATGATAGTTAATGTAATATACTCTCACAAATGTGTATAAATCGTTATGGCAAATACATATCTGTGATTTACTGTGTGCTGTATGCAACAGTATCTTATCTAAGACAAATCATGACCACATACTTGGATTACAACATTACCACAGTGGTAAAAAAAAAAAAAAAGTTAAGGTCCCCCAGCAACACACAGACCCTAATCTGGATGCTCTGGATGTATGTAGGTATAACTACTACACCACCCTTCATCAAGGATGAAATTGAAAAATTGCCTGATAAATTCAAATATAGAGATGACTGCGAATGTGCTGCACTGCGTTTAGGTGTATTATGCACTTTACTGATGTTTTTGGATAATTATATTGAGAAAAGTGCCAAAAAAGGGTCTGAGAGTCTGCAGCTGTGCTAACAGCTGTCTCTGTGAGGCTACACTTATAGGCACAGTGGTGCTTTGAGCTGAATGCTAATGTGAGCGTGCTAACATGATCACAGTGATAATGTTAACTTGCTGATATTGAGCAGGTATAATGTTTGCCATATTCACAAGTACAGCTGAATCTGATGAGAGTCTGTTAATGACTGTCTTTGTTGAAACGTATGTTACAGTGTTGTGTACAGTTTCAAACCTGTGTGGATCTGTTTGACATGTTTGACATAGGTTGTTATTCATACTTATCATTATTATTACTTATACTGATTATTATATTATTCCTATTTATTATTTTATGTGTATGTTTTATTTCATGTTCTTATTTTCATTTTATTTGGTTTTATTTGGTTTGTAAAGCAGTTTGTAACTTTGTTACAAACTTTTTAGTGCAACATAAATAAAGTTTATTATTATTATTATTATTATTATTATTATTATTATTATTATTATTATTATTATTATTATCATTGTTATTATTATTATTATTACATGGATCTCTGTTCAGATTTCTGATTTTGTAAGCAAATGCTCGACTGAAAAACTGACAACTAAATGATTTTTCAGTGGCTTTCTTAAATTAAATCTCCTACATGAATTTCTATGCTGGTTTCATCGAACAGTGCTTATTTCTTTTATTAGCAACTGTTTCTTCTTTGGTTAAGAGCCAGTGAGTCATTTCCAGCGGACTTGACCATCCTTTATAAACATATATGATTATGACTGTGTACAGGAAATGTGTGTGTGATAATATCTGTTGAAACAAGCTGAAACTTCAGACGTAACCATGAGGTGAATCGCTTTGAAAGAGTCTCCTGACCTTTTTCCTGCAATGCTGCTCACATGGTCTCTGTGCAACTGTTATCACTGGTCAGGTTAATGATCAGTTAGAGTGAAACCTGGGTGTGCCTAAGATAAACACCAACGTTCTCTGCGTCAACAGCAGCAGGTAATGTGAGCTGGTGAAACGGGCACCAGCATGACATGAGAATCGTACTGTGGTGTTTATATCGGCCCTGAGACGTCATACTTGCTGGAAAGCAGAAAAAAACAAACATGAGATTGTAAGCAGTGATGGCGCTCTGGCTTTTGTTTCCTTATCTGCCTGGAAATAATGCAGAAATAAATTCTTCCAAGTCTTTTACCGATGTGTCAGTAGTGTAAACTTTGGGCCAGCTGATTTCCAAGTAAAATTCTCATTAATTAATCCCAAATGACTCATTTACTTACTCACTAGAGCAGCTGATACACAACCATTCCCATCCATCCTCTGTAAGAAATACCACATGAGGAAGTAAATAATGAAGAGACAGTCACAAACCCAGTCCTGCACGTCTTGCCCCTCTGATGGCCTGACCAGCGGCTCATCCCAGTAGATGTTAGCTTTGCCGTGGCGCCAAATCTTGCTGCGGGTCTTGTAGGCGTAGTAAGCAGACAGGGACAGAGCCAGCACCACCATCAGACCCAACACTAACGCTACCGCCTGAGGAAAGAAAGTGAATTATAGATCAGAATGGAGGAGAACACATAAGATTAGAATAAAATAGGATAATCCAGCTAACCTCCTCAGGGTCCATGTAGCAGTAGTGGTGCAGGTATTGATTGTACATGGGGAACCCCCCCGGAAAACCAGCCCCCGCGCTGCCGCTGAGGCTGGGGCTACCCTGGATGTTCTGACACATCATCAGCATGGGGTTGTACAGCATGCTCTGTGAGCTCTGAGACATTGGGTTCACCCCAATCACAAAGATAATGTTGATGATGCCCTAAAAAGAGAGGCAGGTTCAATCACACTATTGATTTGATTTGAGAATTTTCACACAACATTACTGTAACACATCAAGTGTAGCAGATACAATTCATGACCCCACCTCACCAGTCAGTTTTAACCTTAGTCCGCCTTTCTTACCAAGTTAAGGCTGATGTCTGAACTTTAAAGGTCTCATGAAATAGTGCCATTACATCTCTGTGACGTACAGAAGTACAGTAGCAGAGTGATGGGTCAAACAATGTCATACAGTTAAAGAGTTGACAGGATTGGCCGAAAGTTGGGTTTGAGATCAAGTCATTTTGAGTTTTCTGACTGAACCTGAAGTTCATTAACTCATTTCATCGGATCTTTAAAGCAGATATAATCATTATATACTGTATATATATATATATATATGTATATGTGTGAAAGGGTTCACTTGTAGTGATGAACTCACACAGAATTATCATCTGAGTCTGCAGATCTCCTCAGCTCCACAGTGTTTTATCTTTCAGCTCTTTGTTTTGGTTTTACAACCCACAACTTTACAGTTGAGTCATTTTCAGCTGCAGCAGGCAGCTGTTTTCAGTGAGAAGCTCTGGAAATCAACTATACGCTGCCTGTCCAGCACCAGAGAAACAGTCATTCAGCGACTAGCTAATGAACATAGCGGCGCATTAAGCAGCTCATGAGTCAGAAGGAGCCTCTGAGGGTTGGTGGAAACCAAACGCTAAATGGAGAGTGAATGTTGGACTTACATTCATCAGAAGACCGGGAACACCATTCCACATGAATATTAATGTCGCTCGGTATGAGCTGAAAGTGTAAATAGGCAACTGTTTGTGAACAAGTTTGCTATGTCAGTGTTGTGTTCACAGCTTGTTTCTGCTGCTCACCCGTGGCCAAAAAAGTAGTTTTGTAGGTTTAAAGCTCTTAACACTTTATGAAATGACTTCCTCACTGGAACTGCTTGATCTTACAATCGACTGCAGACTCTATGCAGCTTTTAGTCCACGTCAGTTTTGGTTTGCTGGTCTGTATAGTTGATTCAGAACAGCTTTTTGAGTCTTATTTACCAGAGTCACAGTTTTCTATTATAATCATACAAAGCAAAACAGTCATGCACAGTGAAATTCATTATAGAGGGGGCAGAGATTGGACTCAATAGAACAGAATGCAATGGTGTTTTGAGTAAAGAATAAGACTCTAGAAACTAGAAACACTGGAAACACCTTACCTCTCTTCCTCTCATTACTAAGTATTACACTAGAATTATTTCCATCTACATGAACAACCTGAGTGCTGTTGAAAGTCGTTCTGGTAAGTGGTGGAAATTGTTATTTTACTGATGATAGTGTAAGACTATCTGAATGGAGACTTTCACATGTATGCCGTATGAGGCAGACTCACCTGAAGCACAGCTAAGATGATATTACAGATGAACACAGTCAGGTAAAACCTGCATCCCCTCATCATCCGGGAACGTGAGAAACTCCCCACCAGGAAGCCCAGTGAAACCAAAAAGTTGATGGCTGCCATGGAGATCATAGCTGACTTGGCAGACTGTGGCGTCATGTAGGAGCTGCCATAGCCGTAGCTGCCTCCATAATATCCTGACCCCGTCCCTGCGACACTCCCTGTGGCCCCTACACCGTAACCACCGTACCCAAATCCGTTCATGTCCCACACCAAGGTTGAAGCCACGCAAGCGAAGATGAGGAAACACATGAGCACAGTGGTTCCCTGGAAAACCTTGACAAAACCAGGAGGAGAGAACCAGCGGTAGAAGTGTTGAGGCTTCTCCTCCACGTAGTAGGAGTCTGGAGGGACATTGTAGGTGTAGGGGACATACTGGCTCTGAGGGGAATGGACGCTCCTCGGCGGATAGAAGCTTTGGGAGGTGGTGCTGTAAGGCGGGCTGTACACAGGGGGGCTATCATACATGGTGGACGTTACTGCAGTTTCACCTGGAAGAGGAAGAAATGATATATTATATTAATTCATGGTAAAAGCAGTATCCTTGTTACATGCTGTAATATCACCATATCACTTAATATTGGCATTTACAAAGTGCCAAATGTGTTTTCTCAATGTTCTCAAAATTCAGATGTGACAAAGACTTTTGATACAAGTTTATTCTCTCGGGTTAAACCCCTTGAGATGAATCATCTCGTTTTCGAGGGCGTCCTAACATACAATACAAATAAACATGAAAACACAAGAAAACAACCAACAATTCAACAAACACACAACAGTTAAAACAATAAATACACAAACATCAAAATAGGGGGGGGGGGGAATTTTGTCAATTTGATGTAAGTCAGTTTTAGTTTTGAGCCTCTCTGCCCTTCGTTCACCTCAGCCCGTCTCTGAACCCTCTGTCCAGTATCGCTGACCCACACTTCATCACTCCAGAGGAACTCAACCCAACAGGCTTCAATAATTCAGACAGACAGCAGATAAGAGGCGAGCTGGGGCAGCCATGCGTGGTGTTTACTGCAGGGGAGAACCAGAGAAGCCCCCCCCCCCCCTTGCTGCATCTACAGTGTGTTTCCTGTGTGCACATGCTGAGTGTCAGCCCACTGAGGGAGAGCACTGGGAAGCTACAAATGAAGCCCAGTCAGGCGTGGAAGAGCTGTTTGTACCTTTGATCAACTACATACTTTAATTTAACTTAGCAATGTTTTTTTTTTTTATGTATGCTCACTCTCTCGGTTTGTTCATATTTTTTTTATATGTGAAAACAAACTGAGAATAAACTTTAAAATTTAGCTGCTGCCCTCTTTCCACCCAAAGTGTAAGATCTGACCACTTTATTTGAAAATGGCCATAAACGTGTAAGTCCTTTCTTCTTGCTTTTAAACTCCATTGTTGTTGCTTGAAAGTCTCTAAACAGTCAACAGGTCAGACAAGTGAACACATATGATAGCAAACACTCCAAAATCAATCCATAAGAACATATAAAACAACTTACTCAGACACTATAGAAAACGTCTACTCCAGCTCAGCCGCCTCACACCGCCTCATTCACGAGTCTCCTCTTTAACAGTCCTCGCATTCCACGTCATCGACGGTCGTAAACTTTGTCATTTTCTATGTTGGATACCTTCTCCTGAAAAAAAAAAAAACCCGTAAATGAAAGGCACGGAGCCGCCTGACTCACCGTGGACCCTGCGGAGTGGCCGAGTGTCTCAGCAGGGACACAGTTCACCTGCTGCTCACCTGCTGCTCCACATGCTCTGATAGACGCTTTATAGGCTGCAGGCGACAGCCAGGTTCAAATTCAAGAGCAAAGTCTACATAATAAATATACATCAGATGGGGAGGTGCAGTCCACCTACACACAGTGCCACAGACTGGAACTATTTATCATTAATGTATAATAGGATATGTAAATGATGATCTATAGTTTCATGGTATAGTCTACACCATCAACCCTCAAAATGTCCAACAGCAACAACAATAAAAATACTAATATTTGTATATAAGCAGCTGCATACACACATTAAATGCAGTCAGAACTGAAACAATCAGCTGATTAACTGATTGGTGGATCATCAGAAAATTACTATGTAAAATAAATTCATCAATCATTCAAGTTATTTTTCAAGCAAAAACTGATTAAAAACTGATTAACTTGAAGATGTCACCTGATGAACATTTTATAGACCTTAACTGAGAAAATCATTTGCAGATGAAAATTATCTTAAATTGCAATCCTGATGCACGGACAGATTATAGTAAGGAAAATAACAATACAAAATAGGTATAAGTTAAACCAAACCTGTCAACGTAGGACCAAAAACAATTTGTCAAAAGAAAGAAAGGCAGCAAAAAATGGCAGTGAAAATAATAAACAGTGTACAATGAATGTAAATAAAAAGCAACTTTATTGTACAAACTATTTCACAACTCAAGTTTTCGTAAAAAAAAGGGAAAAAATACAATCATTGGCAGAGTTAACATTTTAAAGTTTACACTGAATCAACAAAGGCAACAGCTGATTTGTTCTGACTGCTCAGATGTTTCTGTGTGGTCTTCATGTCTGACTATTTGCCACGGTCTCCAGGTCAAATGTTCGGATTCTGTTTTTGATGTGGCTTAATTTGGCCTTCAAGTAGTCGCAGCGTTCCTTTTTCTCCAGAAAGCCAGGCGCCTGTAAATCACAGACAGATTAGCGGCTGCAAACTCTGTTACATAAATCTGTCTTTTCTAATTCTCTGTCTCTTTCTCTCTGCTCACTGTTGTCTGGCCTGATTCAGTCTGTAATGATGCTGCGTTAAATGAGAATTTCCAGAGTTGCCCACATTTCATGATGGAAACAGTATTATTTGAATCAGTGGACAGATTTATTGAAAAAAAAAATTACCTAGTTGTTTACACAAAAGTAGCAAATCTAATACATCTGAGTTAACCATCATGAAGCAGAAAGGAAGGGCAGACTAAGCCCTCACTTTTTAACAAACTCCATCACTTACACTCTTTTTCTGCTGATACGTCTTCAATATGCTTTGAATCCTCTGATGATCCTGAAGGAAAAACACACAGAATGATCCAAGTGGTTTGGACAGATTGTGACATAAAACATACACCAGTCTGCAGCATAATTGCATCATGTAGAAACAAAAATATATAATCAGAGATCATGTATCTGGACAATCTGGAGACAAGTCCTTTTGATGTGAAATTATTTCCTGGAAGCAGGGCACAGAAGTGGTTCATTAAGATAAATAAAGTTTCCTATATACCCATCTCACCACCTGGCTTTTTCCATCTCTGACGAGTCGTGCCATCATGGCGTCCAGCTCCCTGAACTTATTGAGGGTGGTGCTGATGTCTCGGTGAAGGTCTTTGTATTCCTGATACTGGTCGTTGAAAACAGCTTTGTACTTTTCTCGTTCTTCCACACATCCGATCTCTGGATACTTCCTGCAGAGAGAAGTGACACGACAAACTGATTCTTCTGTTTGTAACTCTATGGAGTCGTCAGACAGTCAAGTATGATCATGTGCGGCGTGTACACTGTGACTAATGTTGACAGAGAAATCTTCCTGAACATGCATCGTTTAAATGTTCACTCACTTGATGTAGTCCGGGACGATGTGAGCTTTGGGAATGTATTCAGATGCCGTGTCTCTCCTCACACTGACTGGGTTCTCAGGGACGAGTGCATGTGGCCTGATGTAATCTTTACTCCGAGATTTGTCCATCTCATCCATGAAGGATATGCGTTTGTTTTTGCGGGGGGCGAGTGGGATGGACTGGTGGAACTCCTCCTGAGGCTAAAGGTCAAAGAGAAAGAGTTTTATTCAGAATATATGAACCAATATGTGTGTGGGTCAGTGTCATCATTACAGGAAGCTAATTTTAGGTTAAACTAAGCGTCAGAGAAATTAAAAAAAAGAAAAAAACTGCCTCATTCTTTTGCTTTGACAAGCTAAACCTCTGAAGCTGCATTTCCTCGGCCGGGAGGAGGAATTATTATGTTCACTCGTGGCCTCTCACCCTTTCTTATTTGACATCAAATATATTAGCTGACCGTGCTGTTTCTCACCCATAGGTGGTGGCTGTGATGCCTGATAACATGGACTCTATTTGCAGACAGTAACAAGCTGTAGAGGGGAACAATCATAAAAACCCCTGGAAAATAACAACAATACTCCGTCAGTTTTATGTGCTGAGTTCAGTAAGCAAAAACATGCATAATTCTTTTGTTACACCGGTAGACACAGCTTTCTTCCTGCAGCTTGCACAACAAGAAACAGCCTGTCTAAGCTAATGCTTTAAAATAGTGTATTGGATGTGTACAGGTTTTCTTATTTGGCATAATGTGCTAATTAAATTGGATCTGATGCCAGTGGCCACTGCCATATGGTTCACACTGTTAGCTATTTGTTCTGAGCTATGCTAGTGGTTCAGGGCATATCAGTGTTAAAGGCAAACATCTCCCTGCAGATACCGGAGATAACAGAGATACCAGCATTTACATGTGCAACTTTGTTCCTCATAATTCAGTATCTGTACAAAACTGTGACACCTTTTAATGCTACGCCTGTTTGATGGTATTAGCCATGGTTCCTTTGACAAATGTTTTTAAAATGATTATAACAGCCACACTGAGAAAGCATCACACACGGAAGAAGAACAAGGAAGTGTGTTTCACCTTTAACTTAGCTATCTGTGTCACATTTATACAGAGAGGACTACATGGTCAATAAAGTCACGAAAAACACCAAGGCTGCAGCTTTGGGATGAATCCTGGCATCTGTGGCATCAACCAGCAGAAAAGGCTGACATATCAATACTGACAGCCAGAATGCTCACTGCAGATTGTCTTGACTGACTTTAAATTTCATTGGATTTGGTCTGCCACTGTTGTTTTAGGGCTGTCGCTGGCACATTTGCAATCAATAATAGTATCCCTTACTGTTGCCTACAATAAATGAGGCGTTTGATGTGACATAAATACTTAAAAATAGCCCTCGATAGATGACAAACACGGGGCAGAGTGATGTCCAAACGTCAGTCAGACAGCCTCCTGTCTCACATCTAAAGGCAAGCAACAAAGAGAGTAAAAAGAGCCGCACAAGAAAAGGAATAATTACAGAAGCCGCGGGAAAAACCTGTCACAGTGAACTTTATGTTTTTTTTACAGGCCTTGTAAAGCCAATTGAACCGCACTTCTTTAATACTGTATTCAAGAGGAGCACTTCCCATATCAGCATTATTTCCCTCCCACTTTGAATTTAGAAGTGATGAGTTTGTCTTTCATCTAAAATTTCCACAGTGTTTATGAACTGTACCTTGTTCTCAAAGTACTCCCTCTCCCTCCGTGCGGCCTCATGCCTCCACATCTTCAGACATACCAGGAAGCTTCCGAGATACATCGTCATGTTGATGAAGATGAAAGCCGTTCCCGCCATCTGGCCCCCATCGACGCGACACAGGTTGGCCAAGATGGGGTTAATGCCTATTGTCGTGTAGCACAGCCCCCCACGGTTCAAGTCATTCAGGTACACTATCCCTGCTGCCATGAAGAGCAGGAACAGCGCCACGTTAATGAAGGCCTCCGTCAGGGGCCACCAGGGGGAGTCGAGGAGGATGGTGCGATAATACATAGTCATTCCTATCACCAGGAGACAGAAGGTAATGATCCAGGAGACTCCAGCCACAGCCAGAATGAAGGGAGTCATGGGACCCCTGTAGCTGTATCCTGACACACCAAGCCCATTGTTGTACGCACCGTTATAGAGTCCGTAGCTGTTGGACCACTCACTGTCTTTCTGGATGTAGGCAATGACACAGGCAAGGACCATGCCCCCAAACAGGAGCTCAAGTCCGGCAAGCAGTCTGAGCAGGCCTGGCCAGGATTTCAAATAAGAGTACTTCTGATTATAGACCTCCAGCTTCTCAGCGTAGTACTCTGCAGGGTGGATGCTGGAGAGTAGAGATTCCTCTCCTGGGCCTCGACGAAACAACTCATCAGTGGGGCTGTCCCTTAACAAAGGCTTATGGGAGCTCTGTGTGGAGTTGCTCAGTGAGTCTCCCAAACTCTTGCGCTCAATCAGGGGACTTACAGGAGGGCTCACCCTGGTCCCATTGGGAAGGATCTGGATCCTAGTGGTGCTGGGTTCAGAGTCATTAAAGCTGTCACTCTCCCTTGTCCATTTATGGATGATGCCCCCCCATGATTGAGGGATGAGGGATTTCAGTCTGTCTTTCATGCTCCCTTTTTTGTCAGCATCCTCCCTTTCTGCGTATGGTGGAGTGCTGGATGTGCGGCCTGTGGAGTTTTCATCATCATCCGTGATATTATCTGGTGTGGGTGTGTGAGTAACCCACACAGGCACTGGTGGATCACTAATGGAGTTCCTCTTGCTGGAGGAGGACCCGACCACACTCTCAGGCTCTTGTCTCTTGAATTTCCTGCTCCAGCTTTTCATGCTGCGTGCCGATTTTAGTAATTCATTGAGAAAGAAGCAATCACAGAATCCTTATGAGACATGGAGTGGGAGAAAGAAAGATAATTTATTTGTTTTGAATAGGAAGCATGCACGGATATACTGTATATCATAATAATATGGTCTGAAATCTATAATTCACACACCTGAACATCAGACACTTTCATGTCATTCTTTATAACAAATCTATCTTTCTCATATGATTCAAATCACATAACTGTATATGTCAGCTATATGAACTTTAACCTCTCATTTTCTATATAAACTGAAACATGAATGATTTTACTTGCTTCTCTAAGATCAGAATAAGATGAAATAATTTAAACAATCTCCTTTCTGACAGTGTAAACCTAAAGGGCCACGTCACAAATGCAGGTTGCGCACTTGTACTGTCCATTTTCGATAGATTCTTTCTGTCATTCCAGGTGGATTTTCTGTCATTTATGAATGGTATGAAAATAGTTAGCTAACACTTTTAGCTGGCATTAAGTGTTTTTGTTTTTGGCCCCTTGGGGGCAGCAGAAACAAGATGGCACAAACAACAATGACACAAGTAGATAAGGGAAACTAGTTAGCAAACAGTTGCCTATTTACAATCCAGCAGATACAGAACAACATTTAATTAGAAGAGTGTGTGTGTGTTTGTGTCCGCCTTATCAGTGGAAGTCCAATATTCAATCGCTTTTTATCTTTGTTTCAGTTTCCAATCAGGGGTCTGACTCTTTTAACTGATAAATTCAGCAGATTGGGAAAGACACTAAAATGCTGCAAAGAGCTGAGAGAAACTGTGGAGCTGGGAAATTATTATCTTTGGGGTTGTTACTACAAGAAATCCCTTTGACATACTTGTAGATATTGGATCCATTGTTGAAATAACAATATTGTCATTAATTTTTTTTTTTTACAATCTTACACTATTATTACACAGCAAAGCAGTTTAAGTGCAGGTTGATTTAGTCACTCACTAATATAAAGTGAATGACAAACAATAATCCATACTTGGAATTCATTACGACGGACTATCCAACTCAAACAAGTTTTAAGAGTCGGCCAAAAGGTTTTCATATTGAATGGAAATAAAGGGAAAATGATTGATGCCCTGATGGTAGAAAAAAGTAAAGGTTTCTAAAACACACCTGCACTGTTTGTAACACTGCAATGTAACGCCTGGTGTGTGTGATTTGTGGCACACGGACCAAAACAATGCGAAACCACTGCAGTGATCCTTTAAACACGCTGTTCACAGTGTGTGGAGCAGCATCAGAAATATGTCAGGCTCTCTGCCACAGAAAAACACCTCACAGTGGGACCACTGCATGACTACAGTACAACTCAGACTCAGACTAATAACAGAGGAGTTTAAGCTGAGCCGTGACTCACAGGAAGCTGCTGCTCAAGCTCGTAATACACAGCAACAGTCATGACACTGTCACGGCAAATCAAAGTGGAAACACATTAATAACAAACAGAATATTTGTTTTGAGGACAGTCAGAAAAACCCTCAAAACTCAACAGCTTTCCTTACCTGTTTGACCCCGGCTTTTCCAGGTGGATGTCAGTCTCTCACAGGACTTTCAGTGATTGTTTTTAAGGGAACAGGAACTGACACCTACTGTAAAATGGCCGCTGTGTCCACCAGGCCCACTCAGCTCACCCTCCTCAGTCTCTCAGGTGACTCACTCCTGGTGCTGGGTGCTCACTTGCACACACGCAGGGCGATTGGCCAGTGTGTGTGTGGAGAGGGGGGAGTTAGAGCTTAAACATTAAACCTGAACCGCCCCTGTGCTGCTGCTGACTGGCACTACTAGGTTAATCTGTGGGGGCGAGACAGAGAGAGAGAGAGGTGAAACTGTTGACATTCATAAAACGGAGGGGAGGAGGTGGTGCGCTAACCTGAAATGATGCACAACAGGTGCTTTAAAAGGGCCTGGGCGGCCTTTTAGGATTCAAATTATTGGAACTTTATTGTTAAGAAATGGGTAAAAGGTGCATAAGCCACTCATTAATACTGCTTCAGAGACTCTTGTGTACATATACCAGTCCAGCATTGTCTAGCGATACTTAAAGTATTAAGGATATCACTTTAGAAAATCAAACACATCCAGGAGATTACACTTATTTTTAGAGACAAGCATGTGTTTGATATCAGCTCTACATGATCAATTACATCTCATATCTACGATCTGTGAAATACTGCTTTATCATCACGTCATTTATGAATAATTCATTCTCATCTCAGCTGTGTCATATTGTTTCGTAGACACAGAGGGAGCTGGAGTGTTTGGCACTAGAGGGCAGCAAGCTCCTGTGCTTCTCATTGACAGCTCATGGCCACCTCTCTCTCTCTCTCTTTCTCTCTCTCTCTCTCTCTCTCTTTCTTTCTCTCTCTCTCTCTCTCCCTGAGTTCGGTGTGTCTCTTTATCCCATTCATGGTCTTTCTCTTTCCCACTTTCTGTACCTTTTCTCTTTTGCATTGTTTTCATTTCTGTGAACATCAACTAAAATCTGCGCCCTTATATGTTTTTACCATGCGTCTTCAGTTACGTGAGAAGAATAGCATAAAAAAAGAAACTAAATGAATATAACACATTCTAATATTGAGATATTATAATGTCTCCAGGGAGCAGACCCAGTCTTACTGCAGCACTTTCCCCTCAGCGGTGACACCTGAGCTCAGATTTAACCCTCCACATCTGACTCCAGGAATTGTTCCTGCTGTATAATGTGACGTCACTCTGTGCCAGCGATACTTCCAGAGCAGCGCTGATTTTCATGTAGAGAAAGCTCGGGGCAAGGACATCTGTAGTGCCCCACCACCACCACCACCACCACCACCATTACCATCACCCTCACCCTCACCCTTTTCTTTCCACTCCCACACGCACACACACACACACACACACACACACTCTGCAGTACTCATAGCCAATTCAGTACGGTAAACACATAATGCAACCCACTCTCTCAAGTGAGTAGTGAGTCCCACAAGTGGCCTTGGCCCGGGGCTACTTCATCTGGTGCTGCCGTGCATGTCCCCTACTGCCAGCACAGGTGCCTGCTCAGCTGCACATAATATGTGGAACAATGCAAAAGTCATGTAAAGGGACATATACCGTGTATATATAAAGCAAAAGCCTAATGCTGCACGTAAAACAGTTACATAAATGAGCATGAATACAGGTCTCGCTGTTCAACGTAACAAGTTGAGTGTTTGAATTAAATTATGAATTGAATGTTTAAATTCATTTAAAATATCTGATTAGAATATTGTTTGTACACTTGTTATCAAATACAGGCCTATTGTCATATAAGACATGGGACAGCATGTGTGCGTAATGCAAATATTAAATTGATAGTTAGACGTTTGTTTACTCTCTTGAGGGTTATATGAGAAGACTGATACCACTCTCATGTCTGAAGGGTAAATATGAGGCTAATGCTTAGTTTAGCATTTACACTGTTTTATTTTTGATAACACCATATGCGGCGTTATGGCAAGAGAGCCTATAAATACCTTTCAAAGGTGACACTCACATCAATCAATAACCTGACTTTGTCCCATAAAATGGAGATGTAGTTGATCATCAACAGACGAGACATTGATGAGTGACACCATTCTTCATCTCAGGTATCAATGTCTGTATAGAGAAAGTTAATCTGTGTAACTGATAAAAAACTGTACTTGATGTCATCATACATCTGAATTTCTCGCCTTGCCTGAAATTATTCTGTCAAGTGGAGGACACATGTATACGTCATGTGTGTGTATGGGAGTGCACACATACACACACTTTCATGCTTGACGTCCTGACACATGGCTTGAGGGCTCCGTAAAGGGCTTTTTATTTATTTATTTATTTTTATTCCTCTGTAGCTAAATGAAGCAGGGAAGCTGCGGCAGCCTCCAACAGACAACCTCATTTGTATCAGTTCACTCGGCCTCAGATCTCTCAGAGAGAGAAATGGACAGCAGAGGAAGAGACACAGATAGACAGGGATAGAAAGATAGAAAGAGAAAGAGAGAAATGATGGATGCAGCAATAAATGACACTCAAAAAAACATTTGATGGAATGAAAAGGCCCTTCACGCCCACGACCACTACAGCACCGTGCATTAAAAAAAAAAAAGGCCAAAAACCAAGATCAATACTCCTATTCTCTCTGATTTCCCAAAGTGTATGCGAAACCACGTCAGCTGAAAGTGATAGGGAGGGCATTAAGCATAATGCAGCTGCTAGCTATTAGCTCCCAGGGCAGACAGGGAGAAAAGTGGGGCCTGTAATAAATTCAATAAATGACTTCCCCTGCCTGCCGCAAGCTGTCCCCGAAGAACCTTTTCACACTGGGGACACGATCCTCAACACCCTGCAAGCTGATCCCTCCCCCTGTCCTTCCCCAGTCTGAGGGTCATTTTCAGTCCTCATGGCAACCTGCTTCCTTCTCTTGCCTCTTTTCTCACCATGGGCTGATCTTGAGTACCCTCTACGGGAGATCCCTGGTAATTTGATGCCTCTTTTCTTTTCTCGCCTTTTTCGCTTAAACACAAGAGTAAGTTGTGGCTGGATGAATGAACTGTGCTCATTAAGAGACTGACATTGTTACAGAGGGAATAATGGAAGGCTTACCTGCTCAGCAGATTATTTTAACTGGGTATCTGTAACTAATCTTGGTGCTGTTTTCCCTTTTTTTTTTCTTTTGCTTTCTTGAACTATGCAACAAGGTTTTGATCTGTTAGTGTATGTTCGAAATCACAGGTGATCTTTATCATACTACAGGATAAAAACAATATTTAATTTTAATGATCCTGCACCCGTGGGAGTGAGGAGCAGCAGAGGAGCTGTGCCCTGTGTTTCCACTGCTGCATGTCTTTGGGGTTGTGTAGCAACAACTACAGGGTGACTGACTCTGCCACTCTTGCGGGATATCGGTCTGCTGCCAAGTCCCTCCTGGTTTGGCTGTAATTAACCAGGCTGAGCCTTGTTTGTGCTTGTGGACATGAATAGTAGCTTGTTATTTGACCATTAATGGCTGTGTGTGTGTGTGTGTGTGTGTGTACAGCCCATAGTTCACCTTGGAACAGCGCCCCAGCAGCTGTGTGTCCTCTGGAGCGGTGTTTATGTGTACATCAATACATCCTCCTGTAATCACGTTTTAGGACATTCCTGCCTCACCTCCTTTACAGGAAGAGACATGTGATGTCTGTATCTGTCAACACGTGTGCCAACCCACATTTTTAAGAGTCACAATTGGCTTTAGACTGCTGCCATTTCTCTTTTCCTTCGAGTGGACGTTGTGTGAAAAAGTTTCAGATTGGGTCGACACGCATGATAGGAGTTTAGATTGTAATTTTGTTGATTTAATGGAAAATAAAACATGAGAAATTATTTCAAATTCAATTTGTCTACAGCTGCCAAAAGAAAGAAGAAGAAGAAGAGTGATGATCATAGCTGAAGATAGTCTTTAATGATTTCACCTTGGTGTCTCTCCTTGCTAGGACAAAAGTTCACCTGCAAAATGAAGGAACAGCGAACAGTATACAGAGAATATGTTAAACCCATTTGCCATCCATTAAAAGTTGATTTATTCCAGTGCTACTACGTACATTATGCATCATGTGGCAGTGTACACAGAACAATGATTGGGTTACATTTCTTCACTTTTTGGGGTTTTTCACTCTGTTATTGTTCAGTAGAAGTGTGTTCTGATGCCTGCTCTATGAGGAAAGCCTACTTTTTCTGGATAATAAAAGACTCTGGGATGCGTTTATCACCTATCTACCATCATCAGAATAACATCATGAATGTCCCTCACTTCACTACAAAATACTGTGTATTTTTTTTTTCATATTTTCTAGTGGAGAAAATTGGGTCACTATTAAATATTGGAATGGTGTTTTGGCAGGTCTTTGTTGATGACAGGATAAGGACTGAAGAAAACAAACTTTTACAACTGGATAAAAAACAATAGACCCTGATCATACCTCCATCAGCAGAAGAAAAAAAACAAAACAGTGAAATCGATAGAAATGCTAGAATTTCAAACCCTTCATATCCTGTCTAGTACATCTACTGCATACCTGAACATGCTGTGCATTGCACCCAGCTACCTTCACCCCTGCAGTTCACCATTTGTCCCGTTTACGTGGCGACATCTACAATGAGGTCATATTTACAGGACACCCACTCTGGCTGTTCACAACCCCCCTGAGGCAAAACAGACGTCTGTCAGTAAATGAGCTATGGCTCTCATCTGTCTCTTTTTTTAGTCTACTCTTTCCTGCTGCCTGATGAAGGATGAAGTCCTTAACACCAGCACCGTTACCTCTCTCTGGGGAAGACACTCCAGCATCTGTGATCCTTCCTGGTGTAACTGAATAGTACACCCTGAGTGCAACATGGAACATGACCTGGGGGTTCCCCTGCTTCTTCCTTTCTTTCTCTGTTTTTTTTTTTTTTTTTTTTTTTTTTTTTTCATTTGAACCAATCAAAGGTCTTTGCTGCAGGCCATTGGAAAGCCTCTTTGTGTGCGGGGACTGATGTTCTTAATGATGACAGATGACAAATGCGAGGCTAAAGCTCTGATGTAATGAAGAGGTGGAAACCTTAGATACGAACAGGCAGGTG